GCTCGGATTTCTACTAGTTACATTTGAGGTAGCAAAGTGAGCGGTGGCACCCAGAGCATGAATTTGAGCAGTAGAGGCTGCCATTTCCGTCTTTCTAATCGGTCAAACTATCAAATCTTACTAATTATATATATATCTATCAGTGTAAGTATATGTAGATACAGAAACGTAGAAGAGCAAGAGTAGGAAATGGAAACCCTAACTCATACCCTTCAACTTGGGATTGCAAGGAGAAGAAGATAAGGGGCCGGGTTTATTGTGTAGTTAAGGCAGAGTGAGGGTTAGGTGAGAACACGTGGACGGATCCAAAAGCTTTGATTTCATATGTGATGGGGATTATTAGCCGTTGGATCGGATATATTTGGGCCTGGCCGAAGGAATTGATTAACGTGAATGACTTGGTGAGGCCCAATCTGAAATTCTATGAGTCGGAGCCAGACCCGCTCATTTCAGTTCTTGCTTGTTGGAGAATGGCTTTGTTGTCGATTTATCCCGCAAGTGGACGGATTATAATAAATAGTAAAGTTTACCTTTTGAGTTCGAATTATCATTTTCACAATAATTATATTTTAGTACTCAATTTATTATTCCTAACTTCTATTTGATAAAAATAAATAAATAAATAAATGATTAAATATCTAACTACTAAAAATTTCGTGAATACAACAGAAAATTAGTGAGAATTCAAATAATAAATGGAGATTAGGGCGGAACAAATTCACCTATTGGTCACCTTTACTTCTAATATTGAGATTTATAAAATCTAAAATAGACCTATAAAATTTTTGAATTGTGACCGTAAAATAATTTGTGACATAAAAATTCTGATTTGTGACCAAAAAATAATAAGTAACAAATTAAATCGTTAATTTGTGATCAACGAACAAACTGTAACCTATAAAATTTTTGAATTGTGACCGTAAAATAATTTGTGACATAAAAATTCTGATTTGTGACCAAAAAATAATAAGTAACAAATTAAATCGTTAATTTGTGACCAAATTATATAAATCTGTGACCTAAATATATTTAATTACTAAAATAATTAATTAATTAATTAAATTATAAATTATTTTTTAATAAAAATCTGATTTTTGAAATTTGAAATTTGTTTTCTTTTTTTTGAAACGTAGCATAATTAATCTCTCATTTATGAAATTTTCCCTTAATAATTATAGTTGTACTTTTATTGGGTTTATAGGTTAACAACATTATTGGGCTGTACTCTATGCATATAAGCTATTAATTTATGACTTTTTACCCTTTTTTTATTTAATAAAAAAATTATTAGAAAAAATTATAATATGTTAAAAAAACTCTATAACTTAATATTATTTTTTGAAAATATATATTTAAACAATAATTTATTATTTTAGTATGAGTTTCTAGTTGATTTTAAGTGACACGTTTTATCTTTTAACAATTTGTTACTTAATTATTATTTAACCTTTTATATCTTTGTTTTTGGGGAGGAAAATTGAAGTTTGAAAGACATACTAACGTATCCGTTATCGAAATTTGTGTTCTTTTTAACTATATTCTCGTATCTTATATTTTTAATAATAAAAAATTCGACACTTAGATACATACCCGTACATGTACTCGTGTCGGAGATCATAGCTACGAGAAATGTTTTCATTTGTGTCATTTATTTATTTTGCTTCATTTGTATACAATCATGATGTACGATAGGATTCTCTCAGCACAGGCCTTTTATTATGAAGGCCAAGAAATTGTGCACAGGACATACTTCACTGTACATTGTTTAGGTGGTTTTTGACCAAAAACGTTGGCGTTGATCACCAAAATTTGACTTCAACAACCTAATATTCATTTTTTCGTTAAAGAATGTGACAGAATTATTTGAATTGATATGTTGGGAATTAATTGTTTCAATGGTAATTGAACTTATATTTATATTTTTTATTGCTCACTAAAATTTAAAATTTCGAATTTTGATTATTGAATTTTAAAAAACATTATATATTACTCACTGATATGACTTTTGTCTCAAACTTTTAACGGAATATATGACGTGGCTAATGGGATGCACATGTGACGTCTCATCACACCGTTAAATTTTGAGATAGTCAAATTTTTCCACTAAACTTCAGAAAACATCTTCTATTGCTCACTAAACTTGAGGTGGTTGAATTTTGGCCATTGAACTTTCATAAAGTCGAACTTTGGCCATTAAACTTAGAAAATAATCTTTTATTACTCACTATAAATTTAGATTTAATTAAGCATCTGTTTATTTTCTTTTAAAACAAATTTATTTAATTTTCATACTCATTTTTAATCACACATTTATACAATAAAATATTACACGTAAATTAAAAAAATCAACTTTTTGACCACACATTCTCCAAAAAATCATTATTTAAAACTCATTTTAAAAAAATGGCCATCAAACAGGGGGCCTAATATTTATTGTTAAAAGTCGAATTTAATTTAATTTTAACAATAAATATATTGTGTGTTTCATTACAATTAGTAGTCACTTCCTTTGCATAGCTTTGTAAGCATCATCTATATCGCCAGGAATTATTACTCAATTATACAATAGTTAAATTTAATTTTAATTTATTTTTATGGAATTTTATGTTATCATCATCACAATATTTGAATTTTGCAATGAAACATGCAATGGATTTATTGTTAAATAAAATTAAATCCAAATCATAACAACGAATTTTAATTAAATCCAAATTTATTGTGAGCAATAAAATATGTTTTGCAAAGCTGTGCAAAATTGCAATAAAACAGACAATATATTTATTGTTAAAATGAAATTAAATTTTAAATTCGAATTTTAACAACAAATTTTAGCCCTTGTTCAATGGCCATTATTTAAAAAAAAAGGAGTTTTAAATAGTGATTTTTAAGAGAATGCGTAGTTAAAAAGTTGAAAAAAAATTGAGTTTACGTTTAAAATATTTTATTATATAATTATATGGTTAAAAATAAGTATGAAAATGAAAAATTTTGTTTAAAAGAAAGATAATCAGACTTAAATAAATCCAAAATTATTGTGAGCAAATTTTAACTATATCAAAATTTAGTGGCCAAAATTCGATCGCTTCAAAGTTTAGTGAGCAATAGAAAATATTTTTTATTTAGTAGCCAAAATTCGACTCTTTCAAAGTTTAACGATGTGACCGGGAGCCACATGTGCATTCCGTCAGCACATCATCAATTCTGTTAAAATTTTGAAACGAAAGTTATATCAATGAGTAATGTACAATATTTTTCAAATTTTAGTAATCAAAACTCGACATTTTAAACTTTTTAGTGAGCAATCGAAAATATAAATATAAGTTCAATGACCATTGAAACAATTAACTCCTACATTAGGTATGCTCTGGTAACTGTGCACTCTGCCTACTATTTGGCAGATTTTCAGACCATTACCACTAATTTTATGATTATTCAAATCTACATAAATCACAGACTTGTTTCCACAAATGCACGTTTCTCCATCTCTGATAAAAGTATGGCCAATCTCCATCTGAGACCCTATATAATTCAGCAAAAATTTTACCCTAAAGCATCTTGAAAATTTTCATTCTTACTCTCCGTTCAACATCTTCTATTACTACTAGGCCCCACACATTTGTATGTATGCATGCTCTTCTTCCTTCACTGGAAATTGCTATAGATATATAGTGGATACAGCGCCACCACAAATTATCGGTATATTAGTCTTCTGAGCCAAGAAAAAGTTCGTCCGAAGGCAAAAGAAAATGAATAGTTATTCCAAAACCAGATACTTGAACACCATAGATTCATCAGTTCTTCTTTCTCCCTTTGAAGAAATCCACAAACCCGATCTTAACACTAGCCCAAATCAAAGTTTTGAATCAGGGATTAAAACCCATGATTTCTCTTCAGATTTGGAGGATGAAAATGCCACTGGAAAGAGGTTTGGTGCATTGAAATTGAAAAGAAATGGTTCAATTTCTTCATCATTCCAACTGGGCTCAAAAACAGAAAGTTTACAATCTGCAGTGAAAAGGGCTTTCTCATTAAGAAGATCTTCATCTGTTTCTGAAAGATATTGCAGGATCCATGACCAGTATGTTGCACTAGCATCTCCACTTGATGATGACCTTCAATTTGTCAGTAACAGCAAGAAAAAGAAAAACAGGGGTGGCAAGATCTTGAAGGCCTGTAAGCGCATTTTTGGACTCTAGAGAGAGAAAGAAAGATGTGATTTTTATTTTTATTTTTTATTTTTTAACAATAATGAACTTGTTTTTGCTGAATAATTCAAGTTACTGTATTAGTATATCTCAGTTTGTTTTAGAAACAAATTTTGATGGGCATTTTTCTCAGCTTATTCTCTTTTAAGTTTTAACATTGTTTTTTGCTCAATTAATTAATATATTTGTTGGTCCAATAAAATGATAAGCCTACTGCCATTCTCACAAATCGCAAAGGATATTTGAGAAGCAGTTAAGTTAGATAACATAGAGAAAAAATGAATTATAGAGAGAGAGAGAGAGATTGTTCCTCTAGCTTATGCACTGTAGACTAAACTAGAACAATCTTGCTACATTATATCATAGTTTACACTTCGAATTACCGAATTATACTCGACACAATCTTACATCATCTTTCACATCTTACACATTTCAATATTGCCACATCATCCATCTATCAACAATAATGTCTAAGTTAATGTAGAAAATAGTTCAATTGAAATTTGAAACACTTTTACATCATAATTTACACACAAGCATAAAAAGTAAACACTACTACTTGGGCAAAGTACAAATGCTTTGACTCATTCTATATCTTAACTACTGGTGGAGAGGTGAAATCAGTGGGTTCCTTGGTCCTGGTGAAATTTGAAAAATTATTTTTTATATTTTATGTTTAAATTTTTTTACTAATTAAATTAGACCCCACCCACCCAATTATGGACCTAAATCCGTCACAACAAAACATTTTCGTCGCTCTAAGCTTATGCCCTCTCCCTACATTCCAGCTTTGAATCATGCTTTATATCTTCTCTCTTTCTTGTTTCCATTGACTTGAAGGTTAAAATAGAGCTCCAACTATACAACAATATCGAGTGCCAAAACATGTCAACTACTCAGGCACGGGCACTCGATATCGTTGTATTTCAAGAACCTAATCAAATCTATTCAAAAATAATTCAAGATGATGAAATACTAAGAATATATTCAAGATTAGAAAGGAGATCAACACCCAGTAGGAAAAAACCACATCAAATTTCGTAAAATAATCTCCATTTAGCCCCCTTTAAGATGAACATCTGTCAAATTATGACACGAGAAATCCACTTATGAAATCAAACAAGGAGTGCAGTACAAACCTAAAGGAAAAATTGAAATGCAAAATTTATAGCAAATTGCCATATGCAGCATCCCGAACTGTTAAAAAATACAATTAGACGCACCTGGGGGCTGATAGTATCCAGTTTGGCTTAGAAACCTATTTAAGCACTTTTAATCTATACTCATACCTAAATTTCCTCCACCCTTCAATGATTAACTCGGACAAAAATATATCTTATACATGATGGAAGGGGAAAAAAATTGAAAGTCGGGATGATGATAAAGCTCTGTATCGATTCCCGTGCTACCTCACTTGCTGTCTGTGAAATCTGCATCAATGACGTCTCCTTCGGGTCCCTTGTCCGATGATTTGTCTTAAAAGCTGCTTTCAACTCCCAATACCTGTCAAGCAAATCAGAGCATAATTCCTCAAATTTAGCCCGTGTAAGAGTGGTTTCGATATGTTTGGGGCCATCTGCTGTGGCAGTAATGAAAGGCAAGCTAGGCAATAGAAAGAAGACTAATCAGTATAAAATGCAAGCACGAAATTCCAAAAGCAGTTATAAAACTACAAACATACCTAATATTAGTCTGCGTTAAAGATGATAGTTCCATTTTAGCTTTCTCTGCTGTCTCAGTCAGACGCTGAAGAGCTTGTTTGTCCTTCAAAAGATCAATTCCTTCATCTTTCTTGAAATTTGTAGCAAGCCAATCAACAATTCTCTGGATGATAATACATACATGTGAAGCAATAGAGCAATCGGAAAATCTCGTAATAAACATGAATAAAAAGGTAAGTTATAACACCAGCAAGTAACAAGTTACTTAGAAAAATCTGCAAAAGGAATACAGACCTTATCGAAGTCATCACCACCAAGATGTGTATCTCCAGAAGTTGACAGCACCTCGAACACACCATCACCAACCTCAAGAACTGCAATAACAGGAATAAAGATAAAGGATTATAACTTCAGCACGCCCAAAATGTGATGCTTTTAAATCTCAAAATGTTTAAAAACATTAAATCAACAATCAAGTCGTACATATCAGCATGTGAGAAAATACATAGCCTAAGGTCCAAAAAAGCAGTAACTGTTAATTAGTACAAAGGTTCAGGAAACACTTGGTACCGAGGTTCCAGAACTATAGCATACTCATTCTATTTAAGGGAGTACAAGAATAGTAACAGTGAGAACACAATTCTGAAAATTAAGTCAGCACCAGAGGGGTAAATCAGCAAAGGCAGTCTTCATACCTGACACATCAAATGTTCCACCTCCGAGGTCAAAAACCAGAATGGTCTCATTGCTTTTTCTTTCGAAACCATAAGCCAACGACGCAGCAGTGGGTTCATTTATAATCCGCAGAACTTCCAAACCAGCAATACGGCCAGCATCCTTGGTTGCAGTCCTCTGGGAATCATTAAAGTAAGCAGGAACGGTTACAACAGCTTTAGTAACCTTGTCGTTCAAGAATTTTGATGCATCATCCACGAGTTTTCTTAAAACCTATAGGAGGAAGATAGAAGAACCATTAGATGAACTTCGTATGATGTGGAAAACAATCAAGAACATGAAGATCGTCCTTGAAGAAGACCTTTCTATAAAATAAAATAAAAATGCAATAAATCACCTCATCAATTAAGTGCGAACAAACATATAAATCAGATGCAATATGCCTCAGTTTTTGTATGCACCACCTGACGCAAACTACTAGGGAGTTGAGCAGCAAGCCTGGAAGGTGCAGTGATGATTGATCTTAGAGAAGGACTTCTTAAAAGGCAAAATCATATAACCATTATATATTTCCTTCGCTTTAAGACTAATATCCAGTGTACAAGCATACACTTCCGTGCTTACATATTTTGCATATCATAATAAATAGTTCAGTAAGCAGATATGTCAACCATGGTCCACAGAGACTCCTGTTAAAGGTCTCAGAAACAGAACTAGCCAGTTCTCAATTGGGACCTATTACAATCGCAACAGCCACTTTGGCAGGTCAAGATCAGGGGCACTCACAATCTACTAGGAAGCAACGCAGTTTTTAAAAATACGAACACCGTACAGCCCCTTTTAATTTCTTATTTTTTATATTGTAATGTAAATTTGTTTTTATTGATTCCAGCGTGAAGATAGGTATACAGTTGTACAAAACCAAAAAATAATTCCGGACATGCCTCATTGGGGTTTCTAAGACGTGTCGATGAGTTGTCAGTGCATCTCAACAATCAGAGTTAATTTTAAGGTAAAACTGTATTAAATGTAATTCATTGTTGCAGATGTAATGTGAGAAACAAAAATTTTATTGCACTAAAATCTGTACCAACTCCATGACTATCCACCTCAATGGAAAAAATAAGGCTCATCAGCTATATAGTAATGCTATTTGTACATAACTATGTACAGATTCATGATGTAGATTATATTAACTGTGTTCCTCCTCTTTCCTTATCCCCTTCCCCCTCCTTGGTCAAACAGCATTACTCTCGCCTAAATAACTCTAATCAAAACAAAGTGACATAAAAAATGCACTCTCACGTTTATCCAATTCCAATTTTCTGTTTTAAATGCACATCATTTATGCAAAACCCTTCAACTTTTCAGATTAAACAGCACTTCATGCATAAACTGAATAAAAAAGCTCATATAACAAAACACCAACTCTTACTACCCAATTGTAACTCAAAAACTAAGCAGACGTACATACCCCTGAAACAATAAAAAATGAAGAATCCGTTAAAAATCCACTTTCTGAATCTGAAAATGGTAAATTGCGAGTTAATAAATAAATAAAACACAGAACCCAAACCACTAGAGGGACCAGAAAACCATACCTGAACATTAATTATATGAAATGAATAGTTAATGCTAAATCGATGAAGTAAATTGCAATTTAAAACATATATACCTGAGCCGATATTTCCTCAGCAGCAAATTGTTTTCCAATGGCAGGGCACTCAAGCTTAACGTTCCCATTCTGATCCCTGACCACGGTGTATGAAACCTGCTTGGACTCCTCATCCACCTCCGACATTTTCCTACCGATAAACCTCTTGACAGAGAAGAAGGTGTTCTCGGGGTTCACCACAGCCTGTCTCTTTGCAATTTGCCCTACCAGCCTATCGCCACTCTTACTATAAGCAACTACAGAAGGCGTGGTCCTCTGCCCCTCAGCATTAGTCACAATGGTCGGCTTCCCTCCCTCCATTGCCCCAACTGCAGAATTCGTAGTTCCAAGGTCAATTCCCACAACTTTTTCCGCAACAACACGGAACGGACCCACACCAGGGTTTCGACGGAAACTGCTTCCGACCCTATTCTTCATTTTGAGTCCAAATGATACCGTATTATTCAGCCTTCTTCCCAAGAATACTGTTTTGCTCGGATTTCTACTAGTTACATTTGAGGTAGCAAAGTGAGCGGTGGCACCCAGAGCATGAATTTGAGCAGTAGAGGCTGCCATTTCCGTCTTTCTAATCGGTCAAACTATCAAATCTTACTAATTATATATATATCTATCAGTGTAAGTATATGTAGATACAGAAACGTAGAAGAGCAAGAGTAGGAAATGGAAACCCTAACTCATACCCTTCAACTTGGGATTGCAAGGAGAAGAAGATAAGGGGCCGGGTTTATTGTGTAGTCAAGGCAGAGTGAGGGTTAGGTGAGAACACGTGGACGGATCCAAAAGCTTTGATTTCATATGTGATGGGGATTATTAGCCGTTGGATTGGATATTTTTGGGCCTGGCCGAAGGAATTGATTAACGTGAATGACTTGGTGAGGCCCAATCTGAAATTCTATGAGTCGGAGCCAGACCCGCTCATTTCAGTTCTTGCTTGTTGGAGAATGGCTTTGTTGTCGATTTATCCCGCAAGTGGACGGATTATAATAAATAGTAAAGTTTACCTTTTGAGTTCGAATTATCATTTTCACAATAATTATATTTTAGTACTCAATTTATTATTCCTAACTTCTATTTGATAAAAATAAATAAATAAATAAATGATTAAATATCTAACTACTAAAAATTTCGTGAATACAACAGAAAATTAGTGAGAATTCAAATAATAAATGGAGATTAGGGCGGAACAAATTCACCTATTGGTCACCTTTACTTCTAATATTGAGATTTATAAAATCTAAAATAGTGTTCGGTCAAATTCTTTTATTGTATTCAACTTACCCCTTTCAAATTCTCGTTGAGTCTATTTAATTAGTTCAATTAATATTTTTATACAAATTAAATTTAATTAAATGAAATAATAGTTCTAAGAATTTATATAGGACCGCAACAATTAATATAGGTATCTCTATACGTTATATTAGTTTACCAGATTTTAATATGTGGTCTAAACAAGAATTCGCACCTCTACGTAATTATTGTTCACAAAATCATTGAATAATTGGTCAGAAAATTCAAAGCATTAAAAGTATAATTAAAATCCACCCCTAAAATATAAAATAATGAGAATCTCAATTAAACGAAATAAATGTTCTAAATAAGTTACATTGTTCGTAGTAGGAAATGGAAACCCTAACTCATACCCTTCAACTTGGGATTGCAAGGAGAAGAAGATAAGGGGCCGGGTTTATTGTGTAGTTAAGGCAGAGTGAGGGTTAGGTGAGAACACGTGGACGGATCCAAAAGCTTTGATTTCATATGTGATGGGGATTATTAGCCGTTGGATCGGATATATTTGGGCCTGGCCGAAGGAATTGATTAACGTGAATGACTTGGTGAGGCCCAATCTGAAATTCTATGAGTCGGAGCCAGACCCGCTCATTTCAGTTCTTGCTTGTTGGAGAATGGCTTTGTTGTCGATTTATCCCGTAAGTGGACGGATTATAATAAATAGTAAAGTTTACCTTTTGAGTTCGAATTATCATTTTCACGATAATTATATTTTAGTACTCAATTTATTATTCCTAACTTCTATTTGATAAAAATAAATAAATGATTAAATATCTAACTACTAAAAATTTCGTGAATACAACAGAAAATTAGTGAGAATTCAAATAATAAATGGAGATTAGGACGGAACAAATTCACCTATTGGTCACCTTTACTTCTAATATTGAGATTTATAAAATCTAAAATAGTGTTCGGTCAAATTCTTTTATTGTATTCAACTTACCCCTCTCAAATTCTCGTTGAGTCTATTTAATTAGTTCAATTAATATTTTTATACAAATTAAATTTAATTAAATGAAATAATAGTTCTAAGAATTTCTATAGGACCGCAACAATTAATATAGGTATCTCTATACGTTATATTAGTTTACCAGATTTTAATATGTGGTCCAAACAAGAATTCGCACCTCTACGTAATTATTGTTCACAAAATCATTGAATAATTGGTCAGAAAATTCAAAGCATTAAAAGTATAATTAAAATCCACCCCTAAAATATAAAATAATGAGAATCTCAATTAAAAGAAATAAATGTTCTAAATAAGTTACATTGTTCGCCCTAAATTATATTTAGCTACACATATTAATGAAAGAAAAACAAGATAAATTCATGAAAGATATCACCAGATTAATTGACGGAACATGATTAAAATTTTGCAACGTGAATCTACTGTTTCTGTTCGCTGCCTTTTCTTCTTTTATTTTTTTTTTCAGCCGTCAACTGCCTCTCTCCTTCGCTACTTCCAATGTGTATGTCTATAATTCAGCAACAAGTAGCGTTATTTATGTTTGGAGTCAAATTTCCGTGCGTATATAGCAAATAATCTTGGCTGCCAACAATTTTTATATATATATTTCAGCAATAGGCAGGATTAATTGACGGAACATGATTAAAATTTTGCAACGTGAATCTACTGTTTCTGTTCGCTGCCTTTTCTTCTTTTATTTTTTTTTCAGCCGGCAACTGCCTCTCTCCTTCGCTACTTCCAATGTGTATGTCTATAATTCAGCAACAAATAGCGTTATTTATGTTTGGAGTCAAATTTCCGTGCGTATATAGCAAATAATCTTGGCTGCCAACAATTTTTATATATATATTTCAGCAATAGGCAGCTCATTTCTCCTCCCAGCAGCCGCAAAAATTGACTCCAAATTCAAGTCCAATTTCTCTCCCAGCCGTCACCTTTTCGTGTGTAGTGGATGTGCCTAACAAATAATACCTAGCTCAGCCCACAATTTTCATTCTTCCTTGGTGGCGGTGCATCAATATGTATATATATTCCATTGGCCACCCAATTGCTTGAAGAGACCTATTCCAACCTCTCTTTCTTTTGCCCAATTAGATGTCCATTAATAATGAAGTCCGAATCAACCAACAATTGATAAATAAAAAGGAGCCCAACTCCAATTCCAATTGGTTGATGGCCCAAGTCATCTAATCTTTCACATTAATGCAACTTAGTCCTTCAAATTCTATAGTGTAGACTTTGATCCCCAAGCTTTGCAGCCAATAGCCAATTTAGTTCACGTACTTTGAATTTTGCCATTTTCTTGCCCGATTTTTGCTTCTTTCCTTCAATTCTCTTTTCATGCATAGAATTTACCTATTAAATATAAATAAACAACAATTTAGAATATAATTTGTCAAAAGAACCATCAAATATCTTTATTTTAAGCATCGAATAAGTGTATAAAATATATTTATCAAATACTTCCAAACTTAAACATTTGTTTATCCCCAAACAAAACTATAAACTATAGTAATAGACACACAGTCATTCAAAAATATTTCGTTGGACAGTTTAGCTCGTTACCTCAGGATTCAAGATTTAGTGTATACTCTATAAACATGCTTTAAAGTTAGAGTACCAAACTAATATCCACTCTTCCAATACAAAAATTAACGTGCGTGTGTGTGTGAAAAATCGAGTAATTAACCATGACTGCACAAGTTGTTTCAATTCCCAACCCTTAATGGTAATATATGTCATTTCATCACTCATAAGATTCACACACCACCAAAGTTATTATTTTTCACTCTTTTCCAGTGTGTAATCTAAAGTTGAATATTTCATTACTATCCTTACCCTCTCCAATTATTTGATTGTTTCGACCTCCAAGACTCATTAGCTGATTATCTTGCATCAAAAGTCAAATTCCCTCAAATAAGTGTTAGAGCTTAACCAAGGTATTTAGTGTTTTTGCTCTTTTCAAGTACTTGATTTTTTCTATTTTTCACAAGTATTTTTTAAGCTTTCTAGATGATCCATATAACAGGCTTTAGGCCGATATCTCTCAAATCAGATGATTTTAGGGCATCAGGTTTTTAAATACCCTTACAGGTTTACTGACCCGAGTCAAAAAGGTTTCGAAGAGAACAAATTTTTTTATTTTTTTTCAAGTGCAACTTCGTCTCTAATTGCTTTCTAAATGACCCTTGTTTTAGGCCTATAGCTCCCAAGTCATGCGATTTTAGGGCACCAGGTTTTAAGATACCCTTACAAACTCAATCGCTCAAGTCATAAAGACTTCAGAGAGAAGTTTAAAATTTTCAAATGTATATGCCTTACTTAGTGTAATGCCCCTTATTACACACTTATTCAAACAAATCGACCTCTAACTTAAGACTTTCTCAAAATTTTATCATCCATACATAAGTTTTCACATATGGAATCCACATTCACATCTACATCTTCCTACAACTGTAAAATCACTCCCAAACTGTGCTAAATTTGGTCTGAGAATAGATAATTTATTATGGTTTAGGTAAAACATCTATATCGAACTAGATCAATCTATCAAAAGCAAGAAGCAACTCATTTAATCATAATGTCAAACCCAATTCTAGTGCGCTTGTAATATCAAATTTTACTAGGATGGGCGTCAATTAGTCTAACATGTATCATATCCACAGTTCATAAATGAACACTAAATTTCAAATTAAATCATTATTGTCAGCCAGACTGTCTAACTCACACAAGCACACAACTAAACAAAAGATTTTTTTTTAAAAAAAAATTCGATTATTATTTTTTTTGTTTAAACAAACACAAAAAACATAAAAAAATAAAAACTAAAAGTTTTTTCACCCCCAAACTTAAAACTGACATTGTTCTCAATGTCATAAAACATAAATAAGCACATAAAGGAGGCAGGGAAGAAAAAGAAGAAGGTACTTTCCAAATTTTTTTGTTGAATGTGTGAGGCATTATGTGAGACGATTGGATAATATTCTTCATCATGCTTTCCCTTGCATCTATGTTGGTTTGAATGTTACACAATGTCATGTTCCTGAAAAATCAAATTCCACAAATTAAATAAATGGAACATGGGTTACTTAGTTTAAACAATCAAAATAACCAACAATAAATTTAAGGGCTTACGGGCATAAAGGATATGGGTGATAACTCCTAAATAAACTAAACCATCCTATAATTTGAAAAAAAAAACAAATAAAGGAAAAAGCTTGGGTTGCCTCCCAAAAAGCGCTTCTTTTAAGTCATTAGCTTGACTTGTGCTGCTATTTATCATGATGGCTCGAACCAAGTTATTTCGTCATTGCACTATGTCCATTTTTCATTTATGTAGCCCTTTTTGGCTCTCCAAATTTTGATTTTTCCATTCTCGTCTCTACCAAGAAATTTCCAAAAGTTTGGTTTTCTATTCTGACAGTTTCGTTGATCAAGTGGCTCTTCTTTATTAATTCTACAACAATCATTTTTATTGGGAGGATTCTCATATTGGGTATAAATATTGAATATTTCCTGCTTGTCCTCCACTCTCAATATTAGTTCTCTCTTCTCCATGTCAATAAGGGTTCGACTTGTGGCTAAGAATGGCCGACCTAATATAACTGGAATGTCTCGATCTTCTGGTATGTCTAATACAATGAAATCCACGGGAAATATATAATTTCCTGCTTTTACGAGTACATACTCAACTTTGCCACGTGGCCTTGAGATTATTCTATCAGCTAGCTGTAGTGTTATTGATGTTGAGTTAACTTCATCTAGTCCCAATTTCCTATAAATAGAATACGACATTAGATTGATACTAGCACCAGCGTCACACAATGCATTAACCGAACAGGAATTTCCAATTGAAATTGGTAAAGTAAAACTCCCTGAGTTATTTAGTTTAGGAGGTAGTTTGCTTTGAACTCTTGCACTACTTTCCTCAGTTAATACCACAATTTCAAACTCCGGAAGCTTTCTTTTCTTTATTAACATCTCTTTCAGAAATTTCGTACCTTCGAATTTGTAGTATCGCATCAATGAACGAAACATTGATCTGGAGCTTTTTGAGAACATCTGGGAATTTTTCATATTTTGTGTCTTGTTTGTTCTTCTTAAGCCATTGAGAAAAGGGAATGTGAGGCATGTAAACTTTGACTAGACTTGATACTTTGGTAGTAGATGTTTTTGCACTTTCTTCATTTTCAGTGGAGGTTGGTGCAGATTTATATACCTTTACAACTTCATCAATCACTTCTTGGTCATCTTTCCTGTCCGGTCTCCTTGCAGTAATATATGGTCATTGTACCTCACTCTTTGTAGTTATGAAATGAATATTTTGCTCCATCGATTTCTTTCGAAGTCTTTGGAGAAACAGAACAAGACTCATTAGCTGATTATCTTGCATCAAAAGTCAAATTCCCTCAAATAAGTGTTAGAGCTTAACCAAGGTATTTAGTGTTTTTGCTCTTTTCATGTACTTGATTTTTTCTATTTTTCACAAGTATTTTTTAAGCTTTCTAGATGATCCATATAACAGGCTTTAGGCCGATATCTCTCAAATCAGATGATTTTAGGGCACCAGGTTTTTAAATACCCTTACAGGCTTACTGACCCGAGTCAAAAAGGTTTCGAAGAGAACAAATTTTTTTATTTTTTTTCAAGTGCAACTTCGTCTCTAATTGCTTTCTAAATGACCCTTGTTTTAGGCCTATAGCTCCCAAGTCATGTGATTTTAGGGCACCAGGTTTTAAGATACCCTTACAAACTCAATCGCTCAAGTCATAAAGACTTCAGAGAGAAGTTTAAAATTTTCAAATGTATATGCCTTACTTAGTGTAATGCCCCTTATTACACACTTATTCAAACAAATCGACCTCTAACTTAAGACTTTCGCAAAATTTTATCATGTTAGTTTAAAACAATCCATACATAAGTTTTCACATATGGAATCCACATTCACATCTACATCTTCCTACAACTGTAAAATCACTCCCAAACTGTGCTAAATTTGGTCTGAGAATAGATAATTTATTATGGTTTAGGTAAAGCATCTATATCCAACTAGATCAATCTATCAAAAGCAAGAAGCAACTCATTTAATCATAATGTCAAACCCAATTCTAGTGCGCTTGTAATATCAAATTTTACTAGGATGGGCGTCAATTAGTCTAACATGTATCTTATCCACAGTTCATAAATGAACACTAAATTTCAAATTAAATCATTATTGCCAGCCAGACTGTCTAACTCACACAAGCACACAACTAAACAAAAGATTTTTTTTTTAAAAAAAATTCGATTATTATTTTTTTTGTTTAAACAAACACACAAAAACATAAAAAAATAAAAATTAAAAGTTTTTTCACCCCCAAATTTAAAACTGACATTGTTCTCAATGTCATAAAACATAAATAAGCACATAAAGGAGGCAGGGAAGAAAAAGAAGAAGGTACTTTCCAAATTTTTTTGTTGAATGTGTGATGCATTATGTGAGACGATTGGATAATATTCTTCATCATGCTTTCCCTTGCATCTATGTTGGTTTGAATGTTACACAATGTCATGTTCCTGAAAAATCAAATTTTACAAATTAAATAAATGGAACACGAGTTACTTAGTTTAAACAATCAAAATAACCAACAATAAATTTAAGGGCTTACGGGCATAAAGGATATGGGTGATAACTCCTAAATAAACTAAAACATCCTATAATTTGAAAAAAAAAAAAAAACAAATAAAGGAAAAAGGTTGGGTTGCCTCCCAAAAAGCGCTTCTTTTAAGTCATTAGCTTGACTTGTGCTGCTATTTATCATGATGGCTCGAACCAAGTTATTTCGTCATTGCACTATGTCCATTTTTCATTTATGTAGCCCTTTTTGGCTCTCCAAATTTTGATTTTTCCATTCTCGTCTCTACCAAGAAATTTCCAAAAGTTTGGTTTTCTATTCTGACAGTTTCGTTGATCAAGTGGCTCTTCTTTATTAATTCTACAACAATCATTTTTATTGGGAGGATTCTCATATTGGGTATAAATATTGAATA